AGAGGACGAGGGGGAGGAAGGTTTGGTGGCAGCAACTTCGGCGGAGGCCGCAGGAGTGGCGGTTACGGCAGCGACGACAAGAGCTACGGACGCGGTCGCGGCCGATTCGACGGCGAGTGTCACTATTGCCACAAGAGCGGACACATGTGGCGCGACTGCTACAAACTCCCTGATGGTTGGACCCCTGCTCAAGGCCAAGAGGGTAGAGGAGCAGGAGGAGGGAGAGGACGAGGCCGTGGAGGCCGTGGCGGTCGCGGTGGCGGAGCTGCAAACATGAAGAGCGGAGACAACGACAAGGACCCGAGCGACGATCGATACCCGGGTCTATTCTACTTCGTGTCGACGCAAGTACCGGCTGGTCCAGAGAAGGATGAAGGCTTTGAGGAGCCAGCAGCTGTGGGGAAGGTGACCCTACACCCCCTGGACTATTGGGTGATTGATAGTGGCGCTACCTATAGCATGACACCTCGCCCGGACTTGCTCACCGAACTCGAGCCGTCACCGGTGAAGCATGTCACATCGGCTTTGGGGCAGCGAGCAGAGGTGAAAGGCATGGGCAAGGCCATGTTCAAGGGTGCTGATGGGAAGATGGTGGGCCTCAAGAACGTGCTTTGGGTGCCCAGCCTTGCTGCAAACCTGATTTCCGTGCGGCGGTTGGCAAAGGCCGGCATGGACACGAACTCGAAGGGAGCCAAGACCTACACCGCAAGGCTTGGCGATCGAATTCTTTGGGACCTTCATGAGGACAGGGATGTCTACAACGAGATGTGGCAGATCCCAGTGGTCCCTATGCCTAAGGAGAGGCAAGTGGCAGCAAGCATCAGCACCAAGGATGGAGCGGTCGGTAGCGACGATGGCGCGAACGGTCGCGCTAAGGAGAATGAGCTCAAGAAGAGCAAACCTGGAGGGACCAGCAAGTTCAGTGAACCTAAGGAGAGTGGTGCAGCAACCAAGGAGCAGCAAAAGGGTGAGGAGAACCCAGAGGCAGCAGCGGAGGAGGACTACGGAGAGAGTATGTGGGGCGCTATTGCGAGCGCGGCATTCTCCAATCCAACTTCGGCTACGGGGGAGTGTGATTGGCTCACCTTGCATCGGCGCATGGGGCATGTGGCCCTGCCCATCTTGCAGCAGCTAGTGAAGAATGAGATGGTTGCTGGCATACGTGTGAAGGGGGAGCCCGATGAGGTGCTTGGCTGCCCGACGTGCATTCAAGCCAAGTTCACCCGGTTTCCGTTCCCTAGTTCGGAGGCAACGGCAAAGGCACCGCTTGATGTGGTGGTGATGGACGTGGTGGGCCCCCTGAAGCTTGGAGCTGCTGGAGCTGAGTATTTTCTCACCATTGTCGACGTCTACACCCGCATGACTTGGGTGTACGTGCTGGCCAAGAAGAGCGACGTGGCTGAAACGTTGAAGACGGATTGGTTCCCGATGGTGGAGCGGCAATAAGACCGTCTAGTCAAGTCAATCCGCACCGATCGAGGGGGAGAGTTCCTGAGCAAGGAGTTTGGGTTGTGGCTGAAGAAGAATGGTATTCGGCACTCCCTCACCATGCCATACTCCCCTGCAATGAACGGCATCGCCGAGCGAGCGAACCGCACAATCACGGAGGCGGCACGCGGGTTGCTCATTGAAGCCGGGCTACCCGACTATTTCTGGCCTGATGCGGTGCGGAGCGCGTGTGTGGCCAAGAACAGAGCCTTGACTCATGTGGGAGCAGACAAATGGGTGCCCTATGTGGAGTGGCTAGGAAGGAAGCCAAAGGTGGATATGCTTCGGGTGTTCGGGTGCATGTGCATGGCGCTCGTGCCTAAGCATCTTCGGCACAACAAGCTTGGTGCCAAGGCGGTGTGGGCCGTGCACTTGGGCATGGCTCAAAACAGCAAGGGATGGCTTCTTTGGGACCCATTCACCAAGAAGTTCTTGGTGAGCAGGGACTGCAAGTTCATGGAGAACTTCATGTACAAGGATTGGAAGGCGGAGAATGAGGCGAAGATAGGCGTGCGGTTTGGGGAGGTGAAGAGTTCCGGTTTGGAGCATGTGGAGCTGCCTTTGGAGCTGAGCAGCGGCAGCACAACCACAAGGCAATCCTCCCTTGTGAATGGGGGAGAGGAGGCCAATGATGCAGAGGAAGAAGAGGAGGAGGTGCAGCAAGTGAGCGAGCGTGCACCGTCACTTCCTTCCCGTACTACGAGTGCTCCACGGATTCGAGCCACACCGCAGCAACGCCAAGGCCTTCAAGTCCCTGCAGCTGAGGAGGAAGGAAGGGGGAAGAGGAGAGTTCAACCCCCTAATAGGCTGACCTATGATGCGCCGGGAAAGCAGGGCAAGACAGCCCTGGCCGGAGCGGCAATGATGGTCGGAGACGACGAGGAGAGTGACTACGAGGAGTGTGCCTTCGCGTTCTTCTCTCCGGTGGAGATGCCGGGAGAACCAGCAACTCTCAAGGAGGCTTTGGAGAGTAGTGATGCTGAGGAGTGGAAGAAGGCCATGGAGAGTGAGCTGAAGAGAATCGAGGAGAATGACACGTTTGAATTGGTGGAGCTACCGGAGGGGCGTACGGCGATAACGTCCAAGTGGCTCTTCAAAATCAAGTCGGATGCCGACGGCAAGATCGAGCGCTACAAGTCTAGGCTTGTAGCCAAGGGGTACCAGCAGAAGGAGAAGGTGGACTTCAAGGAGCTGTTTGCCCCTGTGGTGAAGCCGACGACGCTGCGAACCCTATTCGCGGGAGCCGCCATCAAAGGATGGGTAGTAAAGCAAATGGACATCGTAACGGCATTCCTTAACGGCATCCTTGAGGAGGAGATTTTTATGGCGCAGCCAGAGGGGTTTGATGATGGTAGTGGCAGAGTATGGAAGCTGAAGAAGGCCCTCTATGGGCTGAAGCAGGCCCCTAGGCAATGGTACATGAAGCTGCGCGAAGTGTTGGAGGGGATCGGCTTCACTCCCTCAACGGCCGATCACTCCTTGTTCATGCTTGGCGAGGGGGAGCAGAGGAGTTTCATGGTGGTTTATGTGGATGACATCCTCATTTTCTCACCCTCTTCTGACCTTGTGAAGGAGGTGATGCTGAAGCTTCAAGACAAGTTCAAGTGCAAGGCCCTTGGTGACGTGAGCTTCTACCTTGGGCTCCACATCGAACGAGATGTGGAGAAGCGGTGCATGCGGGTGCATCAACGAAAGTACCTGGATGCATTGGCTGCCAACTTTGGGCAGAGTGAAGGCCATGTGGCTACACCCTTTCCCTCTGGGTTCAAGTGTGTGAAGGGACCAGAGGAGGAGAGCGTTGGTGAAGAGGAGAGGCGCCGATTTCACTCGTTGGTGGGCAGCCTCATGTATGCGGCGGTAAACACCCGACCGGACGTCGCGTTTGCTACCGGGCAGCTGGCTAGGGTTGTGCAATGCCCTAATGAGGAGCAGGTAGCAGCTGGAATGAGGGTGGCCAAGTATCTTGGCCAAACACCGACCGTTGGGCTGCAATACTCGGCGGCGGCACAAAGGCGCCAAAAGGGCGCGGATGGTGTTGAACCCGGGCGTTTGTTCCTCACCGCCTACTCGGATGCTTCATATGCATCAGAACCAGAGGACATGACAAGTGTGGGAGGCTTCATATGCTGTGTTGGTGGAGGCCCAACTGCTTGGGAGAGCAAGAAGCAGGTTGACCAAGCTTTGAGCTCGGTGGAGTCCGAGTACATGGCACTCTTCCGTGCCGTACGGGAGATTGTGTGGCAGCGGCGTTTGTTGGCTGAATTGGGGGAGGAGCAGCAAGGACCTACCCCACTGTACTGCGACAGCCAGGGTGCCATTGCTCTTGCTAAGAACCCTGTGTTGCATGGACTCACGAAGCACATGAGGGTGAAGTGGCATTGGACGAGGAGCATGGTAGCCGCGGGTGAAGTTGAGTTGCGCTACGTGAAGACCACGGGGCAGCCGGCTGACATGATGACCAAGAGGCTGGTGGAGCAGCAGCATTGGAAGTGTTGCAAGCTGGCTGGGATGGCTCTGAACTGAGAGAGCAACATATCCTAAGGCCAACAATCCGAGGGGGAGTTTGTTGGTGCAACCCTACGGTTTGCACTCGGCTTGTTGTCCGTGTGCGTGAATGTGTGTGTGTATGGAATGGTATGAGGGCATGGGATAATATATATTTCATGCTTATAATTGTGTGTGAATGTTGAGTCATGATGTCGAGTGTGTGTGTCGAGTCAATAGCGAGTTATCGCTAGACGCGTGTTACGCGGTCGTTTGTGTCTCGCGCGCGGTTTCTATTTTGTCGTGCGCGGTTTCTATTTTGTCCTGTGTCGAACGTTCGGCGTGTCGCAGGTGTGTGCAGCAGACCCATCAAGAACTCAAGGATGAGTTTGTGATGAAGAGCCCGAGCCTTGGTGTCAAGCCTCAAGTGATTTCGAAGCTTGCCAAAAGGGTACACCTCAAGATATTGAAGATAGTTACATTACTTTGTGTAGTGTAACATTTCACTTGGTGTAGGCCCTAGTGAAGGGTAGTTTCGAGACCCTTCGTGGTTGGGGACAGTGTGGCACTGTTCCAAATCACTGTACCTCGGCTCTTGGGGTTTGTAGGAGCTGGGAGTCATTCCCAACTCGTAACTCTTCCTATCTTGTGTTCTAAGACTATAGTGGCTGCCATAGTACCGTTCGTTCAAACCGACGCTGTGTCGTCAATTCTTTATCAAATCGTGCAATCTAAATTGCTAATTGTAGACGACGTGAAGACGCTCCAGATCCAATTTGAATCAAGTCATTTGCAGCTGTGAGCAGAACGCTATCAACGTTTGAAGCCGCTGTGCAGAAATCCGTCTGTGCTCTCTATCTTTCGTTTTAGGCACATTCAAGCCTATTGTGACTATAACACCACGCACTCCACAGTGACCGTCTGGCCGTAAGAGGCGGGATGACAGCAGTCCTGAGGAGGATGGCGTACGCAATGCCACCCCGGTTGCGCTGGACTCCTCGTTCGCTGCATTTGACACGCCAGCACGCATGCTGCAGAACTCGCTGCTGACGCACGGGACCATACCTCACTGGATGTTCACACGCGGTAGACAGCTGCTCGGGGTGAATGTGCTGGCAGCTGAGGCGTGGGGAGATACGCGAGGGCATGAGGCGGTGAAGGCCGACCAAGAAGAGGACCTAGTGTCAGACACAGTGGAGGAAGATGATGACGAGGATACGTGTGCCACCAAATACACCGGAGTCAAGATGGAGAAAGCCTCCGGCAAGTACGGCGTGAAGATCCTGATCAAGGAAGCTGGGAAGCGTAAGCAACAGCGTCTGGGAGCATACACCTCTATCGACGAGGCGGCGTACGCGTACGTGCTGAGGCCACGAGACAAGATACCCAACACGGTAACCCTGACAGCAGCAGAGAAGGCGCTGCTGCGTGGATGCACCAAGGACGATCTGCAGATCCTTGTGGAAGCGCGGAAGTGCTGGAGGTGGAGGAGCTGGCGGGAAGCGCTGGAGAGCATCAGTAGCAAGCTGAAAAGTGGGAGGAAGCGGGGGGGTGCAAGAGGTACATCAAAGAGGCAGAGGGTGGTGGACAGCAACAACATGGCGGCGAACGAACCAGAGGACACTGGCAATGCTGATAGTGGGGGAACGGCCCCCGTGCTCAACGACAACGCTGTTTGTGCAAGGAATAACGACCAGGACGAGCATGGGGACGAAACTGATGCACATGTGAAGACGTCTGCCTCTGCTGCGTAGGGGATGTAGTGACATAGAACATTTGAGAGAAGTCGGTTCAATGAGTTGTAGGTGTGCATTGTACGTCGAGGTGTTTAGTGCTCAATCTGGCTTGATTGTACGCATGTATACATAAATGGGATGAAGCGAGCATAAGTAGTGTGGCCGCGGTGTATGGTGAGTAAGTTGGAGTTTGGTGCAATTTTGAGTGCTGTAATAAGCCAGCCATGTGTACATAACAATATACTGCGTACCCGGATGTGAGATAGGAAGGCTACACTAACGAGTTACATGGAAACGGTTTGGTCTGGGATGTACGCAATGTGTGGTTCATGTGTGCAAACATGTCCAATGATGAGGATGACGTGGGGTTCAGTTATTTGTCGGTTCAGATTGCGGGGATCCGAATGTCCACGATGACGTATTCCCTACCTAACTTACCGACCAATCGGGTGTGGTGGGTGATGTGCAGTTGGGCGGAGAACTGGATGTAGAAATATAGTACCCTGCGTCATTATGCCAGGCATCACACTGGATACTTTCGTGGCGAGAATGGATACCTCGCTTGCTTCCGAGGATACAAGGGCGGGAGGGCGCTCCCGTCTCAATGCCTCCGGCGTACCTGCGAGCGTCGTATCAACTGACGATGCCACGAGGACGATTGTCTAACGGCAAGCGAGGGGCGACCTTGCCTAAGCGTTTGAGCATTGCCAAGAAGGGAAAGGAGGTTGTGCAGCTGGAGGAAGGTATGCAAAAAGCTCGTGGATGGTTGATGCCGTTTTTTGCTGTCGTCGTTTCTTGTGGCTAAACTTTCAATTTCGTGCTGGTATGCCATATGCTGACATGTGATTTCAGGCATTTCTGGTTCCGGTTCAACCTCCCAGATGGCACGCGTGCCGAGACTGCAGATTCGTCTCAGTGAAGTAATGAGGATGACGAGGCAGACTCCGACACATCGGCCTCAGGCTCACCCGAAGAATCTGGCGGCCGGGCTACGGGGGGGAAGACGGGCGACGATGGGTGTGCAAGAACCGCTTCGCCCAATCATGATATTCGCGACAATCGCGAAGAGAGAAACCCGGGTGTGCTTCGAGGTGACGGTCGCGCGCATGTGGATGGACATGATGTACGCAATGGCGGGGCTCCATTGGACACCAACGACGAGGATGTGCGCATCTCGAGCAGGGTGCTCGGGCAACTTATCCAGGCTCAGGACAAGAGCGCCAAAGAGAACGCGAGGTTGGAGGCGCTATTCTTGAATGCAATGTCTCGGCCCTCCGGTGGCTCTCGAAAGCGTAAGGCTCAAAAGCAGAGAGACCCTGGACAGGGGTGTATGAACCCCAAGCGGCAGCGTGTCGAGACTTGGAGCGGCGGGTCTGATGATGACGGTGAAGACGACGAGGAAGACACGCATGGATCTGGTGGCCGTCATATGCGGACCGCAAAGTCTCCTATTCTGAAACGCGCGTTGGAGCATCTGCCGACAGGCAAGGCGTGGAAGGTGAGCGGGCATGCTTCCGTCGGGGTCCATACTTACTTTCCCTTCAGGGCTTGGCACTATGTGACCGATGTTTGTCGGTATACGTACACTGGTGTTGTTCATTGTGAATACCATATTTGCGCAGAGGGTCTGCGAGGTCGCCAGAGTTCACATGTTTCTCAACAGGCCGACGTCGACAATGACGTTCTACCCGAGCAGCGACGATAAGACACACGGCGTGTGTGCGGTGCTGGACCGGTTGCCTCATAGCTTCGCTTGTTTGGCTTTGGCGGCTGACAAGTCGCGACGTGCGGATCTCCATAGCCAGTGCACACGGGGAGGTTGGCAACACCGTGACAGAAAAGTGAAGACACATGCGGACATGACACTAGTGAGGCTCTCACCAAACATGCGTCTTCTCTCACCAACATGCATCACCCTCTCACAATACATCACCCTCTCAACAACATGCACCGCCCGCTCAACAGTCTGACATGCCGCACTCATGGAGCTGTTGAGCACGCTTCCAAATGCAGTCCATGATCTCCTGATTGGTTGGCTCTTTGCCTTTGATCAAGCCAAAAAGGTACGTCTTGGGCTGTGTGCAATCTTTACTCTTCACATCATCGCACTTAGTCACGCCTGCAAAAGGGCGAGCAAGGAGAGTTGAAGAGGGGCGGCAGCAAGAAGGGCGACAGCAAGGAGAGTCAGTCTGAGTGGACTTCTCATTCGGGGTATGGGGCCGCTTGGAATTGAGATTGAGCTACATGTAGAGGGGCGGCAACGGACGGCCATGATTTACCTCCATACTTGAGCTGTTTAAAGGCCTCCTCTAGTCCCTTACAGTTGGTAATACTTTTTAACAGTGTTAGACACTGTTATAGACACAGTAGGCTTCAATGTGCCTAAAACGAAAGATAGAGTGCATAGTCGGATTTCTGCACTGCGGCTTTAAACGTTCATAGCGTTCTGGTCACAGCTTTATATGACCTGATTCAACTTGGATCTGGAGCGTCTTAACGTTGCCTACAATAGGCAATTTAGATCGCACGATTTCACCAAGTATTGACGACACAGCGTTGGTTTGAACGAACGGCACTATGGCAGCCACTATAGTCTTAGAACACAAGATCGGAAGAGTTAGGAAGAGTTACGAGTTGGGAATGACTCTCAGCTCCTACAAACCCCAAGAGCCGAGGTACAGTGATGTGGAACAGTGCCACACTGACCCCAACCACGAAGGGTCTCGAAACTACCCTTCGCAAGGGGCTACACCAAGTGAAATGTTACACTACACAAAGTAATGTAACTATCTTCAACATCTTGAAGTGTACCCTTTTGGCGAACTTCGAAATCACCTGAGGCTTGACACCAAGGCTCGGGTTCTTCATCACAAACTCATCCTTGAGTTCTTGATGGGTCTGCTGCACACACCTGCGACACGCCGAACGTTCGACACAAGACAAAATAGAAACCGCGCACGAGACACAAACGACAGCGTAACACGCGACTAGCGATAACTCGCTATTGACTCGACACACACATTCGACATCATGACTCAACATTCACACGCCACTATAAGCATGAAATATATATATTTTATCCCATGCCCTCATACCATTCCACGCACACACGCATGCTCGCACACGGACGACAAGCCGAGTGCAAACCGTAGGGTTGCACCAACAGAGACTGAGGACGGAGTCTAGGAAGCTTAGAGGCCGAAATATCACAAAATCGTTGGTCTAAACTTCTGGACAGAAAAGTTCGTAACTTTCTTGTTCGTGCTCCGATTGAAGCGATACTTGGTTCGTCGGAAAGCTCTTGAGCAAAGGAGTCACTTCAGATATCTGCTCAAGCCAAATAACATTTACACACACACTCAGAAAAACCAAACCACATCAAACACAAATTCTTGCACACGCTCACACCACGCATGCAATGCACGAACATGTGATGGGAGGCAGACAGACGTGAATGCAAGTGATAGCATCACATAACAAACAGTGACAATGCGCCCGGCATTCTAGTGTGGGCAGCACGGAATGACGAGCTTCTCATATACAGTAACAGCAGAAAAGGACAGAACGAAAGAGAGAAAGAAAACAACGAGTACTAACCGCAAGGGTTGAAAGTATTTAGTATTTGCGTGGGCTTGGCATGATTATTCTTACCATCAGCCGCGAACTTAATTTTCGGACGCCCAAAAAAACGGAGTGTGCGGCGGCTCTGCGCGTCGTCCCCCGAGCTGCGCTGAGCAACAATCGGTGCGCTCTCCGCCGTGATGACGCCGCCGACGGTGTCTACTACTCCCCACGCACCTGCCGCCACGCCATGCCGACACGTAGATTCGCGGAGGGAACGAGGGGACCGGGGGAAAGGAATGAGGGGAGGCAAAGGGAGGGAAGGAGTGTCAGGCGCTTCGACTAAAAAACAGACTCAAAATTCGGCTCAAAAACAGACTCAAAACTCGACTCAAAACAAGTGAGGGAGCAAAAAAGTGTGCAGGTACGACGCGAGTGAGATTAATTGTTGTTTCAGGAATCCTACTAGAGCCAAGCATTGAGGACGTGCTCAGTTCCTCGAGATGCGCGTCACCATCGCACGTGTCTGCGACTTACCATCGCACGGATATGCGCATTACCATAACATGGAGCCAACCTCTCGAGATGCACGTTATTATCGCACGAAAATTATTGGCACGGGTCTGCGACTTACCGTCAACAGTCATCCCATTGCCATGAAGGAGGTCAGATCGAGCAGAAGCAGTAGAAGCGAATGATGCGAACGTGATGGTGAAGGCAAGCAGGAGAAGGAAAGCAGTAAGCAGACGCGCCATGATCAATACTAGTAGCTACTAAAGAGGATGCATGTTGGAAGCTAGTGAATGAGCTCGGAAATGTGGGAATGGTGTCGGAAGGAAAAAGGTGTGGGCATTTGTATGGTGTGAAATGGGCGCATCATGGTGAATATGCGGGGGCTGTAGCGCAGTTGCTCACGCTCAGCGCTGTCACTATCGCGAACCGCGATCCTCAGCGAATCACAATCGAGAAGCTCAGTGAGACGATTCACATCAAGCTTTTTTTCTTCTATCCGGGCGATGACGGTACTAGGACACAGCAAGCTTTTTTTCTAATCACAATCGAGAAGCTCAGTGAGACTACGGATATAAGTGTCCTAGTACTGTCATCTTATACATTAGAAAAAAAGCTGTTAGAATCTAGCAGCAGGAATGGATGAACTATGAAAGAGTTAGGTACAAGTATGAAACCCTAAAAGGGGCTCTACCCCATGTTGGCTACCCCACTACAGCCTACACATATATAACATGCATATACTTTCCACACCCCCATAGGCAAAGTGGGGGAGAGCAAGGGGTCACAAGACCAGTCAAGAGAAGCAAAGCAAGCTCAGGGTGGATCACAACGTCACCACACACACTGAGCATAAGCAAAGGGCCACAAGGCCAGTTCACATGCAGAGGTATATATGCAACAACAACAGCACAGTGATCTCTACCTAGCAGAGCAAGCATGCGGGTATATATATAGATCACGGAAAACCAAAGTCTACAGCAAGTGAGGAAACGTGGGCCTAACAAAGTACAAAAACGCTGATGATCACCAGATGGAAGTGCCTTGGTGAATATATCAGCAGTGTTGGCCCGAGTGGCCACGTGAGCAATACGAATCTGACCACGCTGCTGCAACTCTCGAGCAAGGAAGTAACGCAGAGCGATGTGCTTCACAACTGGAGCTGAGAATAGAGGACGTGCGTGTAGACCGCCAAGAAACTGAGCCAGAGCCAAGGCTGAAGGTGTAACCCTGTGACGACCGCTGCGTAGCCAGGTCGTCAACCCAAGAAGCGTCCGAGTGCCCAGTGAGGACAACGTCGCCCCGTCCTCCAAGCACGAGCCCCATGCCCGATGTACTGCACAAGTAGCGCAGTACCCTCTTAGCGGCATCCATGTGCACCTTTCGGTGCCGACCAGGAGCCACGTAGCGAGCCAGAAGGCCAAGAGGGTGCGCAAGGTCAGGACGAGTGCAGGGCATCAGGTACATGAGGCAGCCCACTAGCTCTGGGTAAGGACCACTCGGCTCTACGGACTCGTCCGAAGGTGGAGCTGAGAGCGAGTGACCTGTAGCCAGAAGAGTGGCCTGTGCCGAGGACCAGATGAAGCTGAAGCGCTGAAGGACCTGCTGCACCATGTGTGACTGAGTCAGTGTGATGGAGCGGCGTGCTCTGTCCCGGGTGATCTGCAAGCCAAGGTAACTGCGCAGCTCACCCATATCTGTGCACGTGTGTCTCTTCTGCAGCTCCGACTTCACCAGGGCGAGAGCCTCAGTGTCAGCAGTGGCAAAGACCAAGTCGTCGACGTACACGAGGATCTAGAACAGCGGCAGCGAAGTGTCGGTGCGCAGAAACAGCGACGGGTCAGCAATCGACGGAGCAAACCCAAGAGCAGCAAGAGTCGTCCTCAGTGTGTCGTGCCACTCACGTGGCGCCTGGCGGAGACCGTAGACCAGCCGCCGGAGGCTCCACTGGGTACCAGGAGGGAACGACCCAGTGAAGCCAGGAGGGCGGCGCAGCCACATCTCCTTGTGCAGCCTGCCCTGTAAAAAAACTGTGCTGAAGTCAAGAGAGTGAAGCTCGTAGTCACGCTGAGCGGCAACGTGCATCAGCACCCGAAGAGTGGTCATCTTCGGGGTGGGGGAGAAGGTCTGGAAGAAGTCAACTCCCTCTCGCTGACTGAAACCTCGAGCAACGTAACGAGCCTTGAAGACAGGCGGAGAACCTGGCGGCCGCTTCACCCTGAAAATCCACATGCCACTGACGATGTTCGCCCCAGGAGGGGGAACCTCATCGACATAGGTGCCTGTCGACTTCCAGGATGCCATCTCTGCGTCCATGGCTGTCTGCCACTGAGAAGAGTACTCACCCGCGATCGCCTCAGCGTAAGAGCGCGGGGTCGGGATGTCTGGAGCATCCGGATCTCCCTCAGGGGCAAGCAGCATGGACACGAGATGAGGCGCATCGGCTGCAAGACACTCAAGGTCCTCCTGCCTGTCCTCAAGAACGTTTGTGCCAAGAGCACACTCACCCCCGACGAACGTAGGACAGACAGACTCAGACTCAGCAACAAGACTAGCGGCGTAGTCTAGACGACAGGCAGCAGCAAAGTCAACAAGCTCAACGACTAAGGTAGACGCAGCAGCAGAATCAAACGAGGGGTCAGTGACAACTGTGGCTAGCAGACGCGTGACAGTAGGGTGAGCAGCACGGGCGCGGTCACACGCAGGCTCAGGAACGGTAGGCAGAGAAGACGCAGAAGGAGACGGCAGAGGAACACGCTGTGGAGGAGAGAAATGACGACGGACTACGAGGTGGGTGCCGGGGACAGCCGGTTGACGCGGACGAGGAACACTACGACCGGAACGACCAGAACGGACAGGCGAGACAGGACGCGACGCAGGCTCACGACGCTCAGTAAGACCCCCTGTCTGCTCAGTGTAAGGAGAAGGAGCAGGCAGCGGTGAGCCAGGCTGTAACGGAAGACCAGTAGACGAAGGGAGACTAAGAACCTGGCGAAGCACAGAGTCAGGCGGTGGCTGAGACGACGGAGACGGTGGAGCAAAGAACAGGCGCGGCTGTGCAGTGCCACCAGCACCAGCAGCTCCAGTACCCCCAGCAGCTCCAGCACCTCCAGCAACTCCAGAACCCTCAGCGCCAGCTCCTCCAGGACCAGCTCCACCAGCAGCAGCACCCCCAGAACCGGCACCTCCAGTCCCAGGGTCTCCAGCCTCAGTGTCTCCAGCAGCAGCACCCCCAGACCCAGGGTCTCCAGCAGTAGCACCCTCAGGCTCAGCACCTCCAGCCCCAGCGGCTCCAGTACCTCCAGTACGAGCACCTCCGGGGCCAGCACCACTCCCAGCTCAAGTGACGTCAGCAGAAGTACCTCCAGCAGCAGAGCCCCGAGCTCCAGAAGCGCGACCCTGACGGCGACCGTACCAGTCGTGCAGCTGCTGTGAGGTGAGAGGCACACGCGGACGAAGGCGGCTACTCCAAGGAGACCGCACAACAGTAGACTCAGAACCCTCAGTGCTAGCACCTCCAACAACTCCAGAACCTCCAGCGCCAGCACCCGCAGCAGCTCCAGAACCTCCAGCTCCAGCGCCACCAGCAGTAGCACCCCCAGAACCGGCACCTCCAAATCCACGGCCTCCAGTAGAAACAACTCCAGTAGCAGAGACACCAGCTCCAGCTCCTCCCGCAGCAGGGCCCCTATCTCCAGCAGCTCGACCCTGACGGCTAACGTACCACTCACGCAGCTGCTGTGGGGAGAGAGGGAGACGACGACGAGAGTGTAGCAGCGAGGCACCAGCGGAGCGACTACGCAGACGGCCGCTCCAGGGAGACTGCTCACCAGACGCCTCAGCGCCCCCAGGTGCAGCACCACCAGACTCAGTACCCCCAGGCTCAGCACCCCCAGACTCCTCACGCCCAGGCACAGCACCCCCAGAAGCAGCACCCCGAGCAGGACCACCCTCAGCAGGACCTGAGTCACCAGTGACCTCAACCGGCGCAGGCAAGGGAGGAGGGTCTACCTGAGACAAACCTGAAGGAGCAGGACCGGCAGCGGGGAGGGGGTCTACCTAGGGAGCACCTGGAGCGAGGAAGAGCGGCGGGGGGGGGGGAGAGGGGCAGTGTGGTAGGGGAAGACGGTAAAAGGGAACCGACTCGTCGAACGTGACGTCCTGAGAGGGGAAGACACGGCGCGAGGTGGGGTGGTAAAACTGCCAACCAGGCGCGTCAGGGACAAAGCCAAGGAAGACACAGGGAACAGCGCGGGCGGAGAGCTTGTCCGCGGTGGTATCGCGGACAAAGGCACGAGAACCCCAGACCCGGAACACCGACGCATCGCCAACCTCCCCCGTCCACCGCAGTGTGGGCGAGGTCTCCGGCAAGGAGACACGGGGCCAGAGGTTGAGCTGATGCGCGGCGTAGCGGACCGCAAACGGCCACAGAAAATGGGGGGCAGCCGCATGGACCATGGAGGTACGAGCGACCTCCATGACCAAGCCAATGCGGTGCTCAGCAACCCCATTCTGCTGCGGAGAGGCCGGAAGCGTGAACGTTTGGCGAATGCCCTCCCCACGACAAAAGATCTGCAGAAGGTCAGAGGAAAACTCCCCACCTCTGTCAGAGTGCAGACGCAGAACGGGAAACTCCGTCCCGAACCGCTCGCGGAGCTGGAGACGGGCAGCGCGGATTCAAGGGATCAAAACTTCAGGGACCTCACCCTTGGTGCGCAAGGGGAAGATCGTGGTGTAACGCGAGTAGTCGTCAACAACCAGCAGGAAGTACCGCTCGCGGTCCTGCCCATTGACGCGGGCTGGGCCCCACACGTCCATGTGCAGGGTCTGCAAGGGAGCAGTCGTCGGGGGAAACGAGGAGGATTGAGGAGCGGCGCGCTGCCGCCCCTCGACACAGGGAAGACAGGGAGGAGCAAGCGAGGGTGGGAGGGGAGGGAGAACCCTGGGAAGACCAGAGACAAGGACACGGCGGTGCATGCTACAAAGGCGCTGCACCGAGGGGTGACCAAGGCGGTGGTGCCAAAGGACGGTCTGGTGCGACAAAGCGCGACATGAGCAGGGGGCCGCTAGCTGACCCGACGCAGATGCAAACGCAGCGACCTGAGGGGACACAGTAGTCAGTGTGTATAGACTCGAGCCAGATGCACGGGTAAATGTGGCTAGGTGCCGGTCCGTCCGGGAGCACGTACAGTGGGTCACGCGCTGACCTCCAGGAGTGAACTGGTCAACCGACTTATCCTGGAGGTCAGCACCACTCACCAAGTTCGTAGAGAACGAGGTGAGGTGAAGACCTGACGGGGAGCCAGACGGGACCGCCGAACACGGCAGGACCGTGGAGGAGTGCGCAAGGACTGGACCCCCAGAGGGGTCTGCCAGGGAGACTGCAACCGGCCGACTGAGCGGCGTGAGGGTGGTGCTGTCGCGAAAGAAGGAGCGGGAAGCACCTGAGTCAAGTGTGATGGTGTACAAGGCCTCAGCAGGCGCAGTACCAGAGAGAGCAGACTCACCAGCACCTGGAGCAGCAGCCTCACCAGCACCTAGAGCAGGAGACGCACTAGCACCTAGAGCAGCAGCCTCACCAGCACCTAGAGCACGAGACGCACGCGCACCTAGAGCAGCAACCTCACCAGCACCTAGAGCAGCAGGCTCTATACCTGGGTCAGCACTAGTAGGCAATGCATACATGGCAGTGAGAATAGCATCATAGTCAAGAGCAAAGATATCTACCCTCTGCCCAAGCAGCTCCAGCCAGGTGGGGAGCTCAGCCTCGTCGCCAAACTCGGTACGTCAGGCATCGCTCAGACGGGCGAAGCAGCGGGACTGTGTGTGACCAAGCGTCCCGCAAGCCTGACCAGCCCGATCACCTGTGCGAATGACGTACGGGCAGCGAACGGTACTCCGAGACCCTCTACTCTGAGCGTACCACTTGTGAAGCTGCTGGGACGTAAGTGTCTCGCGTGGACGCCGCTGCAGCTGCAGCTGGCCACTGCCAGACGCTCCCAACTGACCAGCTCCAGGGCGACAGCTACGACGGCTACCACCACAACCCCAACTAGCGTACCACTCACGAAGCTGCTGGGGCGTGAGAGACTCACGCGGACGTCGCTGGAGCTGCATCTGGTCACCGCCAGTAGTAGCAGTAGCAGCAGTAGCAGTAGCAGTAGCCTAGCAGTAGTAACAGAAGTAGCAGCAGTAGCAGCGCGGGCAGGGCAGGCGCGGCAGGCAGACAGGCAGGCAGGCAGGCAGATGGCGCGGCAGCGCGCGAACAAGGCAGGTGCTGACCAGTAGCGGGAAGGACAGGTTCTCGCTGGGCGAGCAGGGCCGGCGGGCGGCGGCCTGGTAGGCACACGACAGCGGCGACGGCGGGTCCGCAACAGCGGCTGCAAAGTAGGGCCACGTCAGCTGCAGGGTTGGGACCACGACAGCGGCAGGGCAGGGCCGCGGCAGCTGCTGCAGGGCGGGGCCAGGCGGGGCCGCGTCGGCGGCAGGGCGAGGCTGCGACAGCGGCAGGGCGGGGCCGCGTCAGCGGCAGGGCGGGGCCGCGTCGGCGGCAAGGCGGGGCCGCGACAGCGGCAGGGCGGGGCCGCGTTAGCGGCAGGGCGCGCCGCGACAGCGACCTGGCGGGGCCGCGTCGGCGGCAGGGCGGGGCCGCGACAGCGGCAGGTCGGGGCCGCGCCGGCGGATGTCGGGGCCGCGTCGGCGGCAGGGCGGGGCCGCGTCGGCGGCAGGGCGGGGCCGCGGCAGTGGCAGGGCGGGGCCGCGTCAGCGACCTGGCGGGGCCGCGTCGGCGGCAGGGCGGGGCCGCGTTAGAGGCAGGGCGGGGCCGCGTCAGCGGCAGGGCGGTGCCGCGACAGCGACCTGGCGGGGCCGCGTCGGCGGCAGGGCGGGGCCGCGACAGCGGCAGGGCGGGGCCGCGTCGGCGGCAGGGCGGGGCCGCGACCGCGGTAGGGCGGGGCCACGTCAGCGGCAGGGCGGGGTCGCGTCAGCGACCTGGCGGGGCGGCGTTCTGGCCTGACGGGCCTGCAGGGGCGGCTCGCGGGCCTGACGGGCCTGCAGGGGCGGCTCGTGGGCCTGACGGGCCTGCAGGGGCAGCGCGCGGGCCTTACGAGCCTGCAGGGGCGGCGCGCGGGCCTTACGGGCCTGAAGGGGCGGCGCGCTGGCCTAGGGCAGCAGTAGGCAGCGCGAGGGATGCAGGACGGCGCGCGCAGCGCAGCATGTCACAAGGCAAGGCGGGCAGGCAGGACAACATGTGGGGTAACGCGGTAACCGCAACGGTAGGTAGGCCCGAAAAAAAAGACGGTCCTATGGACCTGGTCCCCCGGGACCCCTCCTGGGCTGGCTTCTGCAAGGGCAGTTGCCACAAGGGCAAGAGCGTCAGTGGCCATCTGGGGGGACAAGTGGCGGGGACATGGAGGCAGGGAATGGTATCAGGCTAGCACCCACAGCGAGCAACAACGCGGCAGGGAATGCAGTGGCAGGTCCATCAACGCAACAACCACTGCGCCGGGATTCGCTGACTTCGGCTAGGGGGGGGGAGAGAACAACCACGGTTGCCGTCACGGCTCAACAGACCCCGCGGCGTGAAACACGCAGTGTGACGAGAGCACAAGGCATTACCTGGGGCCCGCCAAGGGTTGGCCAGGCAACGCCGATGCTGGCGCCGTGGATCCCGGCGGGAATACCGCAACAGACCGGCCGAGGCGAGCAGAACGCCGGCACCAGGGGCGGAGCTACGGCTCGCGGAACGAGGGGAGGAGGGCGAGGTGCCAGAGGGGGACGGGGCGGAAGGGGTCCAATCGTTGGCGGAAGGGTTGCGCTCGTGAGAACGGGAACGTGGCGGGAACGCCACGACCGACCGGAGCAAGCGGAGCCAGCGACGAATCAAAACGAAGATGATGATGCCAACATCGAGGAGGGGGAAGAATATATAGCTGAATCGGCGGAGCCATCTGAGGAAATCTCGTTGGAGGACGAGGAGGATGTACGCGTGGCGAGAAGGGCTGGGGAGCGAAGGAGAAACCAGAGCAGCGGGATAAACCCCCAGGCCGATAACCCACAGGGGACGAGAATTAGGAACGAGGAGGTGAATGGAGAGAGGGGAAACCCTCGGGTGGTGGGAGAGATCGGGGACGCACCCAATGAGGGACAGAGTGACTCAGGGGTCCGATCACCGTCTGACCTGGCGGACGACACTGTCATCTGGGAGCTGGCAGCCACGTGGGAGAAATACCCACTCCAAAAAGGGGACCAACCCTTCGTGGTGCGCAGAATGCCGCCCAAGATCCTGGAAAGCTACACGCTCTGCCTCCTGGCGCCACTCATTCGACTCTCGAAATATCCTGACTGCCCAGGTGCATGGGCGATCCTGCAGTATTTGCCGAGGCTGACGTTGCGTCCGGCCCCTGAACCTGTTGAAGGCAGTCGGTGGACAGCAATAGAGCTGCGCCTGCACCAGTTCCAACTCGGCATCTGGCAGCCCCTCTACACCAACGCATGTGTCATCCCCGACAACGAGAGTCCGATATGACACCAACCAGATGACGCAGGTTTATGCGCAAGGGCGGAGGGTTTGATACGTAAAGGAAACATTTCCAAGGCGGTTGCGGCGTTACGAACTACACCGCTCGCAGAAGCCACGGCTGCGACGTTGTCTGCCCTCCAAGCGAAACACCCCGCAGCTGAAACATCGCTACCGGATCTGGTTACCGGGTTCAACCGTTCGACCCTCAGTGTGTCAGCGGACGAGCTTCGCGAAATCCTCAAGAAATGCCCGAACGGGGTTGGAGCAGGCCCATCTGGCACCTGTTTCGAACACCTCAAGGATCCGGCACTGGCAAACGGGGAGGTGCTTATTCTACTCGCTAAGGTAGTGACTTACCTGTTGAGCACGTTCCAGACACAAACGACCCGCGACTTGCTGCTGCCTTCACGGTTGATCGCCCTAGAAAAGCCAGGAGGAGGCGTTCGTCCTATTGCGATAGGGGAGGCTTTACTTCGAGTCGTAGCTAAGGCAGCACTACGTGGCTTAACCGACAACATCAGAGATTTTTTCCTACCAGTGCAGTTTGGGGTGGCGATACCGGGAGGCGCAGAGTGTATCATCCACTCCGTCAGATCGTTACTAAGGGACAACGACACACGAGTAGCGCTACAGCTGGACATAGAAAACGCCTTCAACAGTGTCGAACGGGCGGCTTTCTTCAACGCTCTCTCCCAGTCCAGTTTGCTGCAGCTCATGCCCCTGGTCCGAACTCTCTATGGGGCACCGTCGTCACTCTTGGTCGACGAACGTTTAGGAGTGAACCATATCCTCTCGTCACGCGGGGTGCGTCAAGGGGACCCGCTTGGTCCACTACTCTTTGCGGCCGCGATTCAACCATGCCTGCTAAGCACGGCGACCTTCTTACCGGAAGTCGCAATAGTGGCCTACGCCGACGACATAACGATAGTGGGGCCGAAGGAGGCCTGCTACGAGGCTTTTGGGGCCATTACCAGGGAGCTGGCAACGCTCGGCCTCCGTTGCAACATCGCAAAATCGTCGGCATGGGGACAATCGCTCGCGGATGACGGCGGCACGCCACCTCCCATCGGCCTGCAGCAGATCGCAGATGGGATCCGGGTTCTAGGCAGCCCAGTCGGCTTGCCTGCCTTCTGCACCACCCAAGCACAGACACGGCTTGATGAGGCGTCGGCCCCGTTACCTCTGGTGGCGCAGCTCCACCCGCAGAGCGCAATGCTCATCCTCACGAGGAGCATATCCCACCGAATCTCCTACTTTCTGCGGACGACACCGGCGGAAGTCCTGGGGAGAGAGGGGTGGAGGGGCTGGAGTGAGACCCTGATGGCAACGGCACTAGCAGCGGCGAAGCTACGGGTACCTACAGACGAGCTGGAGAGGAGTCTGTTGTGGCGCCAGGGGACTCTGCCGGTCAGGTTGGGAGGTTTGGGGATTATTGACCCAGTCTCCGAGGCACCTGCGGCCTACATCGCCTCGGTCACGGCGGCGCAGCAGTTGCTGCGCCAGATGAACTTGCCTGAGGCCTATCTCCTGAGCAGGGCAGTCGAGCTGCTGTGCCACGATTGGACCCCTGCCCCACCCGGCATCAACCCCCTGACAACTCTGGAAGCTGGGCTACCAATAGCTGCACGGGCGGCACTACACACTTACAGGGAGCAGCCGGCGGGACAGGGGAACCTTCAACTGACCCTGTCTAGCCACATCAATGAGACGAGGGCGGCGGAGCTGCTGGCTGACACAATAGAAGACCGCCCAGGGAAGGACCGTGGGCACGCAGTACGGCTCATCAGTTTGCAAGGGGTGGGCGCGGGGGACTGGCTCCATGCCGTCCCAACGAGATCTGACCTTACTTTCGCCCCTGGTCAGTTCTCGTTGGCACTTGGCTTTCGCCTCGGCATGGCTCTTCCAGTCACAGTCACCTGCCCGTGCAAGCGCGCCAACACTGCAATCACGGACACGAGCCTGGCAAACCACCTCTTGCGGTGTGGGTACGGGGGAGATGTCGTCCGCACACACAATGCTCTAGTGTTTGCTCTGCTCCAGATGGCGAAGGAGGCCGACTTCACGGTTTTCCACGAAACCACTGCCTTTTCCCCACCGGTGCTGAGGAAGAGAGGAGACCTTGCTATTCGGGACAAGGAGTCGAATGAGACTTGGGTCACAGACGTGACAGTAACCGACCCAGTGCTGCAGTGCCGTGACAAGCGCGCCCGGAAGCCACCTGGATGGGCAGCAAGGGAAGCTTCAGAGAGGAAACACAGGATCTATGAGGGGCGGCCTGACTACGTGGGTTTCTTCGGGTTGGCGGTGGAAACATACGGTGCCCTAGCTACGGATACACAGCAGTTCATCCGCTTGTTAGCAGCCTCGACGGCGAAGAGAAGGTTCCGCCAGGGGAGGCTCACCACCACCACTGCTCGGCTCACCGCTCACTACAGGCAGCGCTTGTGGGGAGGCAAGTGCAAACACAAGCGATTTATAATAAGCAAGGACATACACTCAATGGCGGATCCTACTGCCCACTAGACACACATCACCACAATGGGGCAACCGGAGCCCGCATCTACATGCGGTGAGCTCCGAGGGCGTGAAGAATGCCCGTCAGGGAGCGCCACAGCTCCCGGACCACTAGCGTGCTTGCGCCGATCGCCGCGGCTCCTGATCCTGCGCGCAGGTGCCTCCTCAAGCCCCGGACGGCTTCGTCAAGCTGTCCCGCAGCAGCAGCGCCACCCTCCGCGGGCGCAGCCAACACGGGCGCCAGCAGCACCGCGAGCTGGTCTGCCGCGTCCAGGCAAGGGTCACGTTGGCGAGCACGGAAGGTCTCAGGAGGGATCACAGGGAGAGACGAGTGGGCCAGCACCTGAATTAGCAACAGCGCGTGGAGACTGTCAGCAAGGCGGTGGAGCTGTCCGAGGGTCGCCTCGGGAACACGTGTCTGCGGAGGCTGGAGTGCCTCCGCCAGGAACTGGAACGGCTCCTCTGCACCAACTGGGAGAGCAAACGGTGCCGCCAATGAACCGCCACCCGCGGCTACAAATTCCACTCCCGCAACGGGAGGTGGGCAGCTTTTTAGGAACACCTGCAGGTGCCGCCGCCTACCTAGCCGCCCAGCTGCAGGATATGTCCAAGCCGCTGCCTTTGATCGAACGACTAGACCCACAGATAGCATCACTCTTACTCACGCGCTGCATTTCTCGCCTCGTGGGGTACCTCACACGAACAACGCCACTGCACCTCTTAAACGACGATATATGGTCACAATGGGGCAGAGATCTACTGGCCACGCTCCTCACAGCATGCGGCATTCGCTTCCCAACGGATAACATCGAACAGAGCCGAGTATGGGAGCAGTCTTCCCTCCCACCGTCGCTGGGTGGTATTGGACTCACGGACCCTACGGTGGAAGGACGGTTCGGGTACTTGGCTAGCTTTACTCAGTCGAGCCTCTTCCTCAGTTCATTACCCCTAGAGACAGAGGTGGCCCTGATAGCGGTTCGTGATCACATGCTGCTGCCGCGAGACACCACTACTTCTTTACACCAGTGGTTGCTTGAATGTGAGACCTCGCTGCCGCAGGAGGCCAGGGAAATTCTAGACAAGGAGAGGCTGGAACCGAAGGGGTTGAAACTGCAGCACGAGCTTGGGGTGAAGGTGCAGGGAAGCAGATACGCCACACAGGTGCAGGCAACACGGGACATGAGTCTCAACCCGCTGTCAGGCCACACGCAACGGTTCTTCTCGCTGACAGGCTACGGCACGGGGGACTGGTTAACCGCCATCCCAATAGAGCACCACCGCCGAGTAGGCCCACCCCACTTCGCTAATGCAGTCCGCCACAGGCTGGGGCTCCCCTTTTCTACACCCAAAAAGTGTGACTGCTCCAAACACGTCGAAATCACTGACCCACGGCTGCCAAACCACCTCTCCCGCTGCGGGACAGGAAAGCACAGGATCAATACTCACAATGAACTACGTGACGCCTGCATTTCGATGGCGGAAGACGCTGGCTTTATAGTCCATGCGGAATCAGCGGCCTACTGCCCAGTTGACGAACAGACAGCAGACCTAACCATGCGTGATCGGAGCTCAGGGGCGGTGTACATCTGTGATGTCACTATCACCGACCCAATCAGCACCAGGGACCCGCACGCCACTAAGGGAAGGGGATGGGCGGCCAGAGAGGCGGCCGACAAAAAGATCAGCCACTATGCCAGCCGCCCTGACACAATTGGTTTTTTCCCCTTGGCAGTTGAGACATACGGGTGCCCCTGTGCCGAGGTTCCACAGTTCCTGAAGCTCTTGGCGGACACGGCTGCTAGGCGACACTTCAACGCCGGACCACGCTCATTCCATGCAGCCAGGTTCCTTCATCTCTTCAGGCAGCGGTGGTCGTGTGCCCTGCAGAGAGCTCAGTCAGTGGGTTACCTTATTAAGTCTAGTCAGGCGGCGGCGGCTGAAAATCCTGCCATGGGGGGGGTGCACTCTGAGTTTCATCTCGGGGACAGTTGTGCAGTTCTAGAGCCTCTTATGGAGGTGTAGTTTGGCAGTAGGGTGGTAGCAGAAGAAGCCTAGGTGATGTTGCACTGTGTTTTCATTTGCTTGCTTTATACCTTGCATGTGTGTACTTTCATGCACTATCAATACAAGGACCATTAGAGAGATCCATCAGCGAGCGATGAAGTTCGCGCACCACCACAGTGGTTGCGCCGATCAGGTCGACTGCAGTCGCTGCGCGCATCACACGGCGCAGACCACGGAGCGCAGTCCCAAGCTGTCCAACGCCCGCAACTCCACCCCGCGCGGGCGCAGCCAACACGGGCGCAAGGAGCTCGGCAAGCCGGTCAGCGGCATCCGAGCACTCGTCCAGAGGGCCGCCTGCCAGAGGCACGCCACGAGAAAGAGCCGCGTGGCAATACACCTGGATCAGGTGAACAGCCCGCAGACCCTCAGCGAGGCGCCACAGCTGCCCGCGTGACGCCTCGGGCACATCCGCCGAAGGACAAGGCCCAACCAGCGACTGTACTGGAAGATCAGCTGCCGGAGGATCAGGAGCAACAGGCAGCAGGGACGGATACTGCGGCGTCACTGGTACCCCGCCCGCAGTCACAAACTCCACGCCCGCCACAGGAGGAACCCACGGCAGCCGGAGGCGGTTCCCATGAGCAGCAGCTGACGTGGCGGGAGCACGAGGAGGAGGAGCGGCAGTCGAGGGAAGAAGAGGAGCGGGCGCATAGGGCGCAGGCGGAGGATGAGACACCGGCGCATGAGCGTGGCGCGGCGAATTGCTCAGGCTCGCCCGCCCGTTCCGCTCCTCGCGCATCGCGTCAGACACAACTCGGTGCAAATCAGCCATTGTCACCGGCTGATCATACACCCAGCCGCCACCGCGACCACGCCCTCCCCACCAGCCCCCTCGGCCGCCGCGTGGTGCGGCCCAGTTCGCCTGCGAACCATGGCGGCGAGGTGAATCGTGACGCCGCCGTGACGTCTCCCGCTCGTCACGTGGTGCAGGGGAATGAGGCCGATGCTGCCGACGGCCCGGGGACGAAGGACATTGGGCGGGAGGAACAGGAGCAAGGGGTGCGGGAGCAGGACCCGCCTGGACGGTCGGAGGCGGCGCTGTTGCAGCCGCAGGCGGAGGGGCAGGAGCATCCGGAGGCGACGCGCGGGCCGACTGAACCTCCGCAGAGCTCAGGCCGGCGCTGGTGGCTGGAGGTGGCTGGTACGTCGGGTCCGCACCAGCAGCAGCAGAAGGCGCCACGGCAGGCGCGACCAGTGGCGGCGAGGAGGTGCCCCCAGCAGCAGCAGACGACGCCGCAAGCATAGGCACGGACGCCGACTCCACCACGGGGACAGGCGGAACCACCGGCACAGGCGCAGGAGAGTGCGCAGGATCAGACGTCACTACAGCCCAGGGGCAGGGGCAGGACCAGACGCCGGGGCGAACGCGGGCACATGACAAGGCGCCACGCCAGGCGCAGACAACGACGCCGCGGCGGGAACGGGCGGCGCAGCAGGCGCGGAGAGAAGGCCAGCCTGAGTCATAGACGATGGCGCAGACCGAGGTGCGGGAAGTAGCGACATTCCCGCAGCAACAGGCGCTGGAGATGACACGGCAAGAGGGGCAAATGCAGCTGATGCCACGACAAAGGGCCACGGCGAGTACGAATAATACTCGTCGCCGATCGACACAGGCATCGCCAGACGGGCGAGGCGGCGGACGAGGAGGAGCGGCTGTAAGGGGAGGCGGACCTGAGAATGGCTTCCAGAGGGAAGCGCGCCGGGCCTTAACTCGAAGAGTGGTAAACACAGAAGCTGAGGAGGAGGCACGAGATCCTACGTTTATAGCTGAAATGGTGGAGGAGTCCACCACGGAAGAATCAGGGGAGTTAGAGGAGGAGGAACGAGAAGGTAGACGTCGGGCAAACCCAACACCACGCTGAGCCGCTCCAGTTCTAGCAGCTACAGGTGGCGGATTAAACCGGCCAGCACCCGACACCACCGCATCAGAGGCCCGCCAATTCTCACCTGAACAATTGGCCGAGGACACAGTGCGGTTCGGCGAAGTGGATTTATGGAACCTGACCCCCCTTCGCGACAGTCCTCATCCCCCGCTATCGCGTAAACTCCCTGCTGACATTCGTCCACTTTTCGCCACTGCATTACTGACACCCCTACTTCACCTCGCGCGTAACCCTGCGTCAGTCGCAGGCTGGCGCCTGTTACTCTTTCTCCCGCGCCTCACCCTTCGCCTCCCGTCCACGGAGAGGCCCGATTGGCCGGCGGTCAAGCGTCGGCTTCGCCAATTTAACAAAGGCGAATGGCAGCAGCTCTACGACTCGGCGGTTACCACAACCACTGGACCACACCCGCCTCGTCATACGCCAGATGCCCTGGGCAAACGGGCCAGGGCAGAAGGCCTCGCACGAAAAGGAAGTCTCCGCAGGGCGATCCTCGCCCTTGAGTCAACGCCAGCCGCCGACCCATCTGCATCCATCCTCGCCGCCCTCAGAGCCAAACACCCCCCCGCGCCACCTGGCATCATCGATTGGAACATCCCCGATTCTGTTCAAGCTGCGACGATGGATAAGGGGGACTTCATTAAAATGCTGTGCCGTTGCGAGAATGGCGTGGGAGGAGGACCGTCGGGTATGACAATTGAACACCTGCGTGATGCATCGCTGGCCAACGCGGGGGTTACCACACACCTCCACGCCCTCGTCAACACTATCCTGCGAGGCAACCTACCAGACGAGGTCTGCGCGCTGCTAACGGCCAGCCGCCTCATAGCTTTAGCTAAGCCTGACGGAGGCACGAGACCGATAGCGGTAGGGGAGTGCATATTGCGACTGGCCGCCAAGTTTGCTCTCTCAGCCCTCTCAAAGGAGTGCCATGCGCATTTCCTGCCCTTGCAATACTGCGTGTCAGTCCAGGGCGGTAGCGAAGCGATAATCCACGCTGCAAGAGCTTTCACGTGCGCTAACCCAGACGCTCTCATACTACAGGCGGACCTGGCTAACGCATTTAACTCCATCAACCGCGGTGCAATAGTCGACGCCCTTCGCGACACCGACCTCCAAGGTCTTCTCCCTCTCGTTAAAACGTCGTATAGCCGGCCGGCCCAGCTGTTCCTTGATGCGGGGTTTGGCTGCGAGGCGCTGACTAGCGAGACAGGCGTCCGACAAGGCGATTCGCTCGGCCCGCTGCTGTTTGCCGCGGGGATCCACCCCATCCTCTCAAAGACAGCCGCCTCTTACCCATCGGTTCTCTGCTTAGCATTCGCCGACGACGTCACCTTCCTCGGCCCCGCAGCCGAGTGTTCGGACGCCTTCCGCTTCTTCACGACGGGCCTGCGCGACGTGGGGCTGACCCACAATCTTGAGAAGTGCGCTGCATGGAGTGCAGCGGCTACAGATCCCCAGCAGCTGCCCCAGGGGGTCCCATTTCGCACGGAAGGACTGAGGGTGCTGGGAAGCTTCATTGGTACGACGGAAGGAGCAGCAGCCTTTTTGCGGTCTCAGCTAGAGACTATGTCGTCCCCGTTACCCCACATAGCGTGCATGGACCCACAGGTGGCAGCGCTGCTGCTAACGCGGTGCATCTCCAGGCGCATCTCATACCTTGCCCGCACCACCCCCCTGTACCTCCTTCCCGAGGCCGAGTGGTCAAGGTGGGGCCGTGCTCTGCTGTACACGCTGTTGGATGCTTGCGGGGTGCGCCACCCGAGGGGCGGGACAGAGGTTGGCCAGATCTGGGACCAAGCCTCACTTCCACCTAGCCTAGGCGGCCTGGGCCTCGCCGACCCTGCTGTGGAGGGCCGATACAGCTTCCTGGCGAGCTTTGTGCAAGCCCACACGCTGCTCGGCGGATTGGGGGGACAAGCAGGGACCACCCTGGCAGCAGCATTGGACAGCACAGAATTGGCCGACCACAGCCCCAATGAGCTACAGGGGTGGATTAAGGACTGCAGTGACAGCCTCACAGAGGAGGGGAGGGACCTGATCTCGGCGGAGAGGGCGAAACCTAAGGGCCAACTTCAGCACCGCCTAGCCCTCCTAGTCCAAGGGGGCCGGAGTGCCGCCCAGATTGCCGCTTCTAGACAGATGGAGCTGAACCCACGGCTAGGCCACACCCAGCGCCTCATGTCCCTCACGGGCTATGGTGCAGGGGACTGGCTCATGGCGATCCCCTACATGCCTTCCCTACGCCTATACCCCTGCCACTTCAAGTTCGCCCTCCATTTTAGGCTCGGCCTACCACTGTCTGTGCCCGACTGCTGTGACTGCACCAAACGGGTCCCCATCCTGGATAAGAGGCTGCCGAACCACTTCCTTAGGTGCGGTACAGGGCACGGTCGGACCAACACCCACAACGAGCTGCGCGACGAGTGCATCCGCATGGCGCAGGATGCAGGATTTGCCGTGCACAAGGAGTGCACGGCCTTTAGCCCTGTAGACAACAAGAAGGCCGACTTGGCCTTCAGGGATGGGAGCTCGGGGGCGGTCTGGCTGGCGGACATCACCATAACAAACCCCATCAGTAAGCGGGACCAGGCCGCAAGGAAGGGGAGGGGTTGGGCAGCACGGGAGGCAGCGGACAAAAAGATAGACCTCTACCACGGCAGGGCTGAGTTTGCTGAATTTTTCCCCTTGGCGGTAGAGACCTACGGCTGCCCCTGTGACGAGGTGCCCACGTTCCTGAAGCTGCTGGCGGACAAAGCTGCACGGAGAATCTTCAACGCGGACCCATCTACCTACCAGGCCGCGAAGATGCTCCACCAGTTCCGCCAGCGCTGGTCGGTCGCACTACAGAGAGCCCAGGCGGTGAGCTTTCTCACAAAGCTGAACCAGGCAGCAAGGGCAGAGAACCCCCCACTGGGGGGACCAGAGGGGGAGGTGAACCCGGGGGACTGTTTCGCAACGCTCGAGGCACCTTAGATAGGAAGGGGGGGGGGGGGGGGGGGGGGGGGGTTGGGGAGGGACTAGGGGTGTGTGTTCTGAAGGATTTGTATTGTCGTTGCTTGACCCCGTTTGCTAGTCTTCATGCTAGACTGGCCCTGCCCTAGAATATGCATGTTTGTACCGAACCACACTTATCAATACAAAGGACCGTTCGAGAGAGAGGCCTAGTCCTTAGCCTCTCCAGCCCTCTCCAGCCTAGTATAAAGGCCCTAGGATCTAGTCCTAGAGCCTCATTATTCTGTTCCGGGTTCGTTTGCTCTCCGAGCGGCTCGCGCCGGCCGCCGAAGGCGGCCGACGCTCGACAGCGCGGCCTTCGGCCGCGCGTGAGGGGACGGCAAGGGGGAAAAGGGACAAGAAACTATATTTCAACACATACAAAGATTGGCATCACCTACACCGGTCTAGGTTAACACAAGGCGACACCATGGCGCCGGAAGAGGCGGATGATGAGAAACGAGGAACACAGGAGGACGCAGTGCCATCTGGTGCGTGCCCGGGACCGCAGGAGGACGCTGACGCGGAACACGACGACTAGTGCAGACAGCACGAACAGGCGACGCAGGACGAGACGCAGGCGCACGACGCTCAGCAAGACCTCCAGTAGGACCAGCGTAGGGAGAAGGAGCAGGCAGTGGGGAGGCAGGCTCTAACTGTGACCGCGACTGGACAGGCTGTGGACACTCTAGGGGAGGAGGAGGACCAGTAGAAGGCGGGAGACCAAGAACCTGCTCAAGGAGCGGAACGAAGTACGGCCGTGGCCGCGCAGCGCCTCCAGAAACAGCAGGGACAGCACCAGGACCCCCAGCAGGAGCACCAGCGCCAGCAGCACCTCCAGCTCCAGCAGCGCCAACTCCAGCACCCTCAGAAACACCAGCCCAAGCAGTACCTCCAGCACCAGCACCCCCAGCAGCTCCAGTACCCCCAGCAGCACCAGCAGCAGGACCAACCCCAGTAGCTCCAGCAGCACCCCCAGTCCCAGCAGCTCCAGTACCGCCAGTACGAGCACCTCCAGGACCAGTGGCTCCAGCACCTCCAGCGCCGGCTGCAGGGTCAACAGCAACAGCAGCACCTCCAGCTCCAGCAGCACGACTCCAGTGCCTGGCAAACCACTCGCGCAGCTCCTGTGGAGAGAGTAGCTCCCGCCGAGACGAAGTACCCGAAGCACCCCCAGGCTCAGCACCCCCAGGCTCCGCACCCCGAGGCTCAGCACCCCCAGGCTCCGCACCCCCAGGCTCAGCACCCCCAGGCTCCGCACCCCTAGGCTCCGCACCCCCAGGCTCAGCACCCCTAGACTCAGCACCCCCAGACTCAGCACCCGCCGGCTCAGCACCCCGAGCAGCACCGGAGTCAACAGCTACCTCGACAGGCTCGACTGCGTCTACCTGGGACACACCTGACGGGGCAGGACCCTGAGGGGGGAGAGGGTCTACCGGGGGGGACCTGGCGCAAGGAAGAGCGGCGGCGGGGGGAGGGGCGCAGTGCGGTAGGGGAAGAGATGGTAGTAGTGAACCGACTCGTCAAAGGTGACGTCCTGGGAGGACAGAACACGGCGCGAGGTGGGGTGGTAAAACTACCAACCAGGCGCGTCAGGGGGGAAGCCAAGGAAGACGCAGGGAACAGCACGGGGGGACAGCTTGTCCGCAGACAAGTCGCGGACAAACGCCCGAGATCCCCAGACACGAAACGCAGACGCATCGCCAACCTTCCCGGTCCACCGCAAGGTGGGGGAGGTCTCCGGCAAGGAGACTCGGGGCTGAAGGTTGATCTGATGCGCCGCGTACTGAACCGCGAACGGCCACAGAAAATGGGGAGCAGCCGCATGGATCATGGACGTACGAGCGACGTCCATGACCATGCCAATGCGGCGCTCAGCAATCCCATTCTGCTGTGGAGAGGCCGGAAGCGTGTACGTCTGACGGATGCCCTGTGCACGGCAGAAGGCTCCCAGAAGGCCGGAGGAAAACTCCCCGCCTCTGTCAGAGTGCAGACGCAGAACAGGAAAGTCCGAGCCGAAACTCCTCCTGAGCTGGAGACGAGCTGCGCGGATCCAGTCGATCAACACCCCAGTGACGTCACCCTTGCTGCGCAAGGGGATCATCGTGGTGTAACGCGAGTAGTCGTCAACCACCAACAGGAAGTAACGCTCGTGACCCTGGCCACGGACGCGGGCGGGGCCCCACACGTCCATGTGAAGAGTCTGCAGCGGAGCCTCTGTCGGAGGAAACTCAGAGGAGTGAGGAGCGGCGCGCTGCCGCCCCTCGACGCAGGGAACGCAGGTAGGGGCAGGCCCCGGAGGAAGGGGAGGGAGGGACCGGGGGAGACCAGAGACAAGGTAACGGGAGGCCATGCCCCGGAGACGAGGCAAGGAGGGGTGACCAAGGCGGTGGTGCCAGAGGAGAGTCTGGTGGGACAGGAGACGACACGAGCAGGGAGCAGACTCAGGACCAGACCTGGACGCTGCAGCAAACACCTGACCCGACGCAGCTACCTGACCAGACTCAGCAGCTTGAGAAGGCCCAGTGGTCAGTGTGTACATGCTCGACCCCGGCTGACGGGTAAACGTGGCCAAGTGGCGGCCCGTCCGAGCACACGTACAGTGGGTCACCCGCTGACTCGCAGGAGTGAACTGGTCAACCCCCCCATCCTGTAGATCAGCTCCACTCCCCAAGTCCTGTAGATCAGCTCCACTCCCCAAGTTCGTGGAGAACGAGGGGAGGTAGAGACCTGACAGGGTACCAGAGGGGGCAGCCGGACACGGTAAGACAGTGGAGAAGTGGGCAAGGACAGGACCCCCAGAGGGGTCCGCCAGAGAGACCGCAACTGGCCGACTAAGCGGCGTGAGTGTGGTGCGGTCTCGGAAGAAGGAGCGGGAAGCACCCGA